TACGAATAAGAAATTTAATATTATTATCATTATTTTAAAAAACGAACTTTTTGTATAGCTTTTTGTTTGATTGCTGATTGTCGTTTTGGTGCTATCACCTTTGCTGTTTTTATGAAATCAAAAGAAATTATAACGTCGATAAAATTCACAATTCAAAAAAGTGTAATTTATAAAAAAAAAAAAAACTAGCCTCCTTTCTTTGGCCTGAGCATATTAGTTTTTTTATTAATTTTTCTGGGGATTGTATTTGACGCTTTGAATTTTCCTTGACCTTGTACCATTATTTTTTTTTCAACTGCTATTGCTATAGCGGATCAAAAATATTATATTTGTGATACTTGTGCGACCGCAATATTTAAGTTTATTCTCACGTGATAGTATCGTTGTATTAAGAACATTTTTTTTACAATTTTCATTTTAGATCAATTAGATCAATTAGATCAAACTGAAGATGGCCTTACGTGTTCCCAAGAGTAGTTATCCTCAGTTATTTAAAGAAGGCTATAAGGTTCGTGTTTAATTTAAACCATAAGTAAAGAAAAAAAAAAGTGTAGTGTTCCTATACTTAAATACGCTGAAATAGATCAAAGTACGGACGCGACACTGATCTAATGATTTTATTTTATTTTTATATTTAGAACCTTCAAGGTGTTGACGAAGCCGTACTTAAAAATATTCAAGCTATACACGAACTATCAGAAATCGTTAGAACTTCTTTCGGTCCCAATGGTATTCTATTTCATAACCGGATAACTAAAGCTGTTTGCAGAGGAAAATACTTATAAAGATTCGAATTTGACATTATAATAAAACAGGGAGGAATAAAATGGTGATCAACCATCTTGAAAAGCTGTTTGTTACTAACGATGCTGCCACAATTATTCGCGAATTAGAAGTCGTTCATCCAGCAGCAAAATTATTGGTAATGGCGAGTCAGCAGCAAGAGCAAGAGGTAATTGATTGTCTATTTCTCTTTAATCCTCATTTCCTTAAGAATCTTCCAAAAGATCATTTTGTATGATTATATGGATAACATCTAAACATATAGTGATGTAATAGGTCTCAAAGTGCAAATGTATCAATTAGTTTAAATGATTCCATATCGATATAGCATCTTTTTTGAAATGAAATTTCTCTCAAATTATTTAAATTGTATTACAATTCTTTAGGTCGGTGATGCGACAAATTTTATTATAGTCTTTGCCGGTGAGCTACTACAAAAAGCTGAATACTTATTACGCATGGGGCTTCATCCAAGTGAAATTGTGCAAGGTTATGAACTTGCAAGGGACAAAGCATTGGAAATTTTGGAAGGTCAATTTCAATCTGTTTTTGTTTCTATTTTATTATTAAATTTGACACTTTCTTATTTTTTAATATGATTTATAGATCTCTGTGTGGAAACTGTAAAAGATCAGAAATCAAAAACGGATCTTTTAAAAGCTGTCAAGACGGCCATTGCTTCTAAACAATATGGAAATGAAGATTTACTTTCTGATTTAGTTATTGATGCTGCGCTTTTAATTATGCCAAAAAATCCTGCAAATTTCAATGTGGACAATATTCGTGTGGTTAAAATAATGGGTAGTAGTATTTATGAAAGTAAGGTGGTTAATGGTATGGTATTTGGTCGTGAACCTGAGGGTGTTGTTCATAAGGCGCATAAGGCCAAAATTGGAATTTTTACTTGTTCTTTGGACATTACACAAACTGAAACAAAAGGGACTGTTTTGATTCACAGTGCACAAGAAATGTTAAATTTTACTAAAGGCGAAGAACAACAGATGGAAAAGGCAATCTTAAATATTTATTATTATAATTTCAGTTTAAATTTTACGCTTTTTAATGTTACTAATATATCAATTTTTTTTTTTCTTGCCATATCATAATAAATTAGATTTTTAAAGAAATAGCTGATGCTGGAATAAATGTCGTTGTCACTGGTTCTGGTGTAGGTGAATTGGCCTTACATTATTTGAACCGGCTCAATATAATGGTTGTAAAAGTTTTATCAAAGTTTGATTTACGTCGGTTGTGCCGAGTTGTTGGTGCTTCACCATTGGCTAGATTAGGCCCTCCTACTCCTGAAGAAATGGGATTCTGTGATATTGTCGAAACCGTTGAAATAGGCGGTGATAGAGTTACAGTTTTTAGACAAGGTATCAAATTGAATTATTAGCATAAAAATAAAAATAATTAGTATAAATTAAACAAGGTATATAACTAATTCATCGAT